TAGCTGTACTCCCAGCTACTCTGAAGGCTGTGACAGGAGAATCGCTTGAACCCAGGAGGCAGAGGTTGCAGTGAGCCTAGATCGAGCCACGGAACTCCAGCCTGGGCAACAGAGCAAGACCTTCTCTCTAAATAATAACAGTAATAATAATTCCTGGGAATTAGGAAGTTTCCAGTTTATAAGTAGAGAAACTGAGGCTCCAGGCCCCGTGGGATCTGGACCCTGAGCTGGACTTTGGACTCTGTGAACTTAATGACTGTTTTACACTGTACCTGCAAAGGAAGGCAGAAAGACAGAGCTTTGAAATCTATGGACCTGACAAAGGTCCAGCCAGACCCTGTTCCCACCAACCTCTCTGGGGAGCCACCTAAGGCCAGCCTCCCCAAGACAGAGCACACAGCCAGCAAGGAATGACCCACGGGGCCTCAGAGTAGAATGAAATATCAATACCTAATCCCTGAGAACAGGGTGAGTGACAGACATCCGTTATCACCAAGTATAGTCGTTTGGTTCAATGGGCTCATGGCCAGCAGAGCCCCTGGGCCACGAGCCGGATCCTCCCCTCCTTGGAACCGGAGCAAGCCCTCCATGGCCCTGCGTGGTCCACTTGGCACCACACCGTCTTGTGTTTGTCTAACTTCCCTGACCCCGGCGAGTGCTCGTCGCCTTTTTTCCTCCTTTCTCAAAAACCAGGACACAATAGGAAGCGTTTCCTTGAACTTATTAAAAAATCCAGACTTGTAAATTAATTTGTTCGTGTTGTACAAAGGCAGTGCAGATGGACTCATTAGCATGCACACAACAAATAATTATAGATGAATTTTTAGCTGGCCTGCCTAATGCGCTTGCTGGGTTAATTATGTCAATGTATAATTACATCAGCCCGGGGAGACATAATGGCCTACCCTGCTGCGCAGGCTGTGCCTAATGACGGGGCGTGGGGGCTGCCGGCAGACGAAAGCCACCACTGCCTTCCTGCGCACCTGCTTACCTCGGCGTGGACACCCATTGTCCGAGCCCCCGCCACCTAAACAAACTGGCCACAGCAGAGTAAAACAGGGAAGCCTCCTTGTTCCAGCCAGACCTGAAGGCCCCATGTACAGGCACAGCCCCGTTTCTTCCATCAGCAGATATTTATTGGGTTGGACTGTGGGTCACACTTCATGGTAGGTACAAGAATTCCAGCAGGGTGGGGGGTGGGAGAGGGTGCAAAAACAGATGCAGTCTGGCCTTCCCATGTGGAGTTTGCAGTCCAGTGGGTGTTAATTAGGTGAACCTGCCAATAAACGTGCATTAGAACTGCACTGGGTGCTGTGAAGGAAAGGTGCAGGCAGCTCATATCAGAGTACAGGTTAGTAGAGGGCTTCCTGGAAGAAGTGGCATTTGAGTTGCACTATGGAAGGCAAGTAAGTGTTAACTAGCTGAAAGGCGTTGCTCAGGGGAGGGTGTTCCTGGTAAGGATCCCGTGCAAAGGGTCTGAGGTGGGAAGTAAGAAGAAGCCAATGTGACTGGAGCTCAGAAAGAAGTGAGGGCTTCTGTTTACTCTGAGCTGACCAAGTGTCTGGTGCCATGTGGAGCATTTTACATGGATCCTTACCACAGCCCCATGAGGTTGCTACATTTATGGTGAGGCACAGAGAGGTACAGTCACTTGCCAAAGTCACACAGCAATCCCAAGAAGCAAGTATAGATTAGCAGACTCCAGGGATATCTAACCTTGAGGTCTATGCTCTTAATCCCTCTGCTTCCCAGCAGAGAGCAAGGGCCAAACAGATGCTGGCAGAAAAATCTGGGGGAGGGGCCAGGCATGATAACTCACACCTGTAATCCCAACACTTTGGGATGCCAAGGCAGGCAGATCACCTGAGTTCGAGACCAGTCTGACCAACATGGTGAAACCCCAACTCTATTAAAAATACAAAAATTTGGCCAGGCGCAGTAGCTCATGCCTGTAATCCCGGTACTTTCGGAGGCCAAGGTGGGTGGATCACCTGAGGTCAGGAGTTCAAGACCAGCCTGGCCAACATGGTGAAACCCCATCTCTACCAAAAATAAAAAAAATTAGCTGGGTGTGATGGCGCGCATCTGTAATCCCAGCTACTCAGGAGGCTGAGGCAGAAGAGTCACTTGAACCCAGGAGGCAGAGGTTACAGTGAGCCAAGATCGTGCCACTACACTCCAGCCTGGGCAACAGTGCGAGACTCCATCTCAAAATAAATAAATAAATAAATACAAAAATTACCCAGGTGTGGTGGCACACACCTGGAATCCCAGCTCCTTGGGAGGCTAAGTCAGGAGAATAGCTTGAACACGGGAGGCAGAGATTGCAGTGAGCTGAGATCACGCCGCTGCACTCCAGCCTGGGCAAACAGAGCCAGACTCTGTCTCCAAAAAAGAAAAAAGGAAAAAAGAAAATTCTAGGGGAGGGACCAGGAAGAGACAGGGCTTCCATGCATTAGAAAGAACTGAACCAGACTAGGCCCCTTGGTCTATGTCCAGGACCCTGGCTTTCCTGGGTGCCGTGGACACCATCTGTACCTGCTAGGGCTGGCAAGAGCAGGAAATAGGACAGGAGGCCTTTGTGGTATCAAAGCAAGAGACCCAGGTTTGAGTCTCACATCTACCCTTCAGCAAGTCACCTGGTTTCTCTGAGCCTCAGTTTCCTCATCTGTGAAAATGCACTGGATCCAAGCTAGCCTCCAGGGGATGCCGTGAGGATGCTGGGAAGCCAGTCCCATGCATGGGCTTTGTAGCCTGGAAGGTGCCAACACACCTCTGAGATGATCCACATTTCTTAGTCCCTGCCCTAGATGGGGACTTGGGGAAAGCGTCCTGGAAGAAGTGAGGCAGGACTCCAGAGTATAAGGAAGCAGATGTACTTGCGGCGTGAAGGGCTGGGAGAGGGAACTGAATTCCAGGCAGTAGGACCTGCGCGTTCCTCACCTTTGAGTGATTGGGGAATTGGTGGACATCTTACATCTAGATGTGTGTTTTGCCCCCCGAAAAAGCCGTTAACCAACAACGTGTGTCACAAATGATGGTGTCACCAGGTCCACTGAGAAGCACACCAAGAATTACATGGGCGAGGATGTTGGTGCAAAATAGGAATACAGGGAGCGGGGAGGCTGGGAGAGCTCGCGAAGAGGTGGGGCAGCCACCTGGGAGCATCTAGACCCCCACACAGCCTACGGAAGTGCTGGGTGAGGCCATGGGGGAGTCGTCACTCCAAAGTCAGCCCTCAGAGCAGTCCCGCCTCGGTATCCCCGCTGCACACAGGCATGTAGGTGGAGGCCATGGGAAGGTTGGCCTCAGAGCGATGGATCTCAGAGCAGCAGCCAGATCCTTGCTCAGTGCCCCTCGCTGTAGTTGGAGGTCTCCAAGGCACAGTTTCAAAGTGCCACAGATGGCATCATAAAATCAAGAAAATGAAATGAAGCCAGGGCAACATAATGAGACCTGTGTCTACAAAAAAATACAAAAATTAACTGGGCATGGTGGTGCACACCCTTGATCCCAGCTACTCGGGAGGCTGAGGCAGGATCACTTGAACAGAATCTCACTCTGTTGCTGAGGCTGGGGTATAGTGATACAATCTCTACTCTCTGCAGCCTCGACCTCCCAGGCTCAAGTGATCCTCCCACTTCAGCCTCCTGGGTAACTGGGACTACAAGCATGTGCCACCATGCCCAGCTAATTTTTTTTTTTTTTTTTTTGAGATGGAGCCTTACTCTGTCCCCCAGGCTGGAGTGCAATGGCGCCATCTCGGCTCACTGCAACCTCCGCCTCCCGGGTTCAAGTGATTCTCCTGCTTCAGCCTTCCCAGTAGCTGGGATTACAGGTGCCTGCCACCACACCCAGCTAATTTTTTTTTTTTTTTTTTTTTTTTTTTGAGATGGAGTCTTGCTGTGTCCCCAGGCTAGAGTGCAGTGGCACGATCTCGACTCACTGCAAGTTCCACCCCCCAGGTTCACACCATTCTCCTGCCTCAGCCTCCCAAGTAGCTGGGACTACAGGCGCCGCCACCACGCCCGGCTAATTTTTTATATTGTTAGTAGAGACGGGGTTTCACCGTGTTAGCCAGGATGGTCTCCATCTCCTGACCTCGTGATCCGCCCGCTTCAGCCTCCCAGAGTGCTAGGATTACAGGCGTGAGCCACCGTGCCCAGCCACCCAGCTAATTTTTGTATTTTTAGTAGCAACGGGGTTTCACCATGTTGGTCAGGTTGGTCTCGAACTCCTGACCTCAGGTGATCCACCCGCCACGGCCTCCCAAAGTGCTGGGATTACAGGCATGAGCCACTGAGCCCAGACTACTTTTTAAATTTTTTTGCAGAGATGAGATTTTGCCATGCTGCCCAGGCTGGTCTTGAACTGCTGGGTTCAAGTGAGCCTCCTACCTCGGCCTCCCAAATTGCTGGGATTATAGGCGTTAGCCACTGCACTCGGACAACCTTTTTTTTTTTTGAGACGGAGTCTTGCTCTGTCACCCAGGCTGGAGGGCAGTGGCGTGATCTCAGCTCACTGCAATCTCCACCTCCCGGGTTCAAGCGATTCTCCTGCTTCAGCCTCCAGAGTAGCTGGGACTACAAGCATGAGCCACTAGGCCTGGTTAATTTTTTTGAATTTTAGCAGAGATGGGGTTTCACCATGTTGGTCAGGCTGGTCTCGAACTCCTGACCTCAAATAATCCGCCCACCTTAGCCTCCCTAAGTGCTGGGATTACAGGCATGAGCCACCGCACCCGGCCTGGTCGACTATTATTATTGTTAGTATTATTCCCAGCTGGACAGGACACCCACACCCTGGAGAGAGCAGATGCTGCCCTGAACAAGTGCCTGGACGAGCCTGCTCCCTCGTAGAGCAGAAAGTCCATGCTATTTCCTGCAAGCCAACAGGGTGACTCCAGTGGCTCCTGTGGGGCCTGCCAGGCCCTGCAGCCACAGTCCAGGTGTCCCCATCCATCAGGCCCTCATCATCCCTGTCTTTCTCTCCCTGCACAGACCCCGTGCCTGTGTTTGAGGCGGCGCGCGGCCTAGACGACAGACTGCAGCCCCCCAGCTTTGACCCCAGCGGGCAGCCCCGGCGAGACCTCCACACTTCGTGGAAGAGGAACCCCGAGCTCCTCAGCCCCAAAGGTACTGATACGGCCTTCTCGGCGCATCTACAATAAACAACCAGGCTGCAGATCTTCAGAGCCAAACTCGGCCAGCCTTGTTGGGGGGTGGCTGGGGCAGGGAACTGGGCAGGTGAAGGCCTTTGGTAACCGTCTAATTCCTGGGTGTATATTGAGCCTGGCACGGGAAACGCAATTGGGAGTAAAAGAGAAAAATCCTGCCCTTGTGGTGATGATCTTCTAGAAAGGGAGACTGTCAGTGAACAAATTAGTAAGACATATAGTGTGGCAGGTGGAGAGAGAAGTCAAGAGACCCGTTCAGGTTCCCACCCTCCATGGCCAGCCCCAAAGCACCCTCTGCCCCTGTGATGAATTCAGCACCAAAAGCACCCACCAAGCCCTGGCATGAGCCCCCACAGGGCCTGCCAAGGCGGACGTGATGCAGGTGAGGCCAGTGATGGCTGAGCATCCACATGTGCGCCCTCCACAGTGGGGAGGGGAAAATAGTCTGGCAGTCTTTGCTAAGTAAAACACAGGCTCACCACATGACCCAGAAGCACCACAGCTAGGTGTGGACCCCAGAGAACTGAAAACACGGGCTCAAAACAGTGTACACAAATGTACATGGCAGTGTTACTTATAACAGCAAAAGCAGAAACAACTAAAGTGGCTTTCAACAGCTGAATGGACAAACAAAATATCCATAGAGTGGAATATTACTTGGCCATGAAAAGGAAGGAAGCACTGATCCATGCTACAACATGGGTGAACTTTGAAAACATGGTGCCGGCCAGGCGCGGTGGCTCACGTCTGTAATCCCAGCACTTTGGGAGGCTGAGGCGGGTGGATCACAAAGTCAGGAGTTCGAGACCAGCCTGACCAACATGATGAAACCCCGTCTCTACTAAAAATACAAAAATTCGCCTGGTGTGGTGGCTCACACCTGTAATCCCAGCTACTTGGGAGGCTTAGGCAGGAGAATTGCCTGAAACTGGGAGGCGGGGGTTGCAGTGAGCCAAGATCGCACCACTGCACTCCAGCCTGGGCGACGGAGCAAGACTCCATCTCAAAAAATAAATAAAAAGAAAACATAGTACTGAGTGGAAGATGCCAGACAGGAAAGGCCACATAATGTACTATTCTGGTGGTGTGAAATGTCAAAACAGGCAAATCCGTAGAGACAGAAAAGAGATTGGTTGAGTTGTTTAATGGGTACGAGGGGTTTCCTTTTGAGGCAGTGACAGTGTTCTGGAACTAGTGGTGATGGCTTCACAAAACTGTGAATATACTAAATGTCACTGTAAAATAGTGCTTAAAATAGTGAATTTTGGCCAGGCGCGTTGGCTCACACCTGTAATCCCAGCACTTTGGGAGGCCAAGATGGGCAGATCACTTGAGGTTAGGAGGTCAAGACCAGCCTGAACAACATGGTAAAACCCCATCTCTGCTAAACAAACAAAACTTAGCCAAGCATGGTGGCGGGCACGTATAATCCAGGTACTCATGAGACTGAGGCAGGAGAATTGCTTGAACCCAGGAGGCAGAGGCTGCAGTGAGCTGAGATCGCACCACTGCACTTGCAGTCCAACCTGGGCAACAGAGCGAGACTCCGTCTCAAAAAAAAAAAAAAAAAAAAAGTGAGTTTTATGTGACGTATATTTTACCACAATTTTAAAAGTATAATAAAGCAGGCCCCGGAGGTATGAGCAGGCAAAAGAAGCTCTGCATGTACTGACACTGGTGTCACAGTGGAAATGACCTGTGTGCTGAGGACACGGGGCCCGCAGGGCCCCACAGCTGAACTCTCTCCAAGGCCTGAGTTTGGGAAATTGATCGCAATCGATGATCGATCCAGTTTACAGAAAGCCGTTCTGGCTGTCACGTTGCTCTCTTGGCAATGGGGGTTTTCCCTCTTTTTCTCCCTGCAGAGCAGAGAGAGGGGACGTCGCCTGCCGGGCCCACGCTGACCGAGGGAAGCCGCCTCCCAGGCATTCCCGGGAAAGCCCTCCTGACAGAAACCTTGCTGCAGAGAAATGAGGCGGAAAAACAAAAGTGAGGAAGGGAGGGTGGGAGGGAGGGAGGAAGGAACGGGCAGGGCTCCTGCTGCCCCACCTGGCTGGGTCATGGACAGGGAAAGTCTCCTACCAGAATCCAGATGCAGGCTGGAGACCAAGAAGAGGAAGGGCCGAGGGCTTTGGACTCCAGCTGGGTCTGGGTTCAAGCTCCACCGCAGGAACTCAGTGGCCAGCCCTGGGCAAGTCACATCATCCTCTGAGCCTCAATTTCCCCCCCCCGGTAAATGGGGCTAAGGGTGGTCCATTCCTCAGCATTCTCTAGAGAAACAGAACTGGTAGGAATTTTTTAATGATTAAGACATGTACTTCTAGGACTTAGCTTATGCAGTTATGGGAACTGCCAGGTACAAAATTGGTAGAGCAGGAGTTGGTGCTGCAATATTTTTAAATTTTATTTTACAATAATTAGAACGTTTTAGAGATGGGATCTTGCTCTGTCACTCAGGCTGGAGTGCAATGGCACAATTATAGCCCACTGCAGTCTGTAATCCCGGCACTTTGGGAAGCCAAGATAGGAGGATTGCTTGAGGCCAAGAGTTCAAGACCAGCCTGGGCTACAGAGCTGGAGTGCAGGGTGCAATCTTGGCTCACTGCAACCTCCGCCTTCTGGGTTTAAGCAATTCTCCTGCCTCAGCCTCCTGAGTAGCTGGGATTACAGATGTGCACTACCACACCTAGCTAATTTTTATATTTTTAGCAGAGACGGAATTTCACCATGTTGGCCAGGATAGTCTCAAAATCCTGAACTCAAGAGATCCTCCCGCCTTGGCCTCCCAAAGTGTTGGGATTACAGTTGTGAGTCGCTGTGCCCAGCCACAAAAAAAAAAAAAATTTATATATATCTATATTTTATATATATATATATATTTATTTTTATTTTTTTTTTTTAATTAGCCAAGCATGGTGGCATGCACCTGTAGTCCCAGCTACATGTAAGGCGGAGGCAGAGCAGAGGATCACTTGAGCCCAAGTGGTTGAGGCTGTAGTGAGCTATGATTGTGCCACTGCACTCTAGCCTGGGCAACAGAGCAAGACTCTATCTTTAAAAAAAAAGAAAACGGGCCGGGCGCGGTGGCTCATGCCTGTAATCCCAGCACTTTGGGAGGCCGAAGTAGGCAGATCACTTGAGGTCGGCAGTTTGAGACCAGCCTGACCAACGTGGTGAAACCCTGTCTCTACTAAAATTACAATAATTAAGCTGTGTGTGGTGGTGCATGCCTGCAATCTCAGGTACTCAGGAGGCTTAGGTGGGAGAATTGCTGGAACCTGAGAGGCGGAGGTTGCAGTGAACTGAGATCGGGTCACTGCACTCCAGCCTGGGTGACAGAGGAAGACTCCATCTCAAAAAAAAAGAAAACAGAGGAAATGTTACTCCCCCAGGGCAGTATCAGTAATTCACAATATTGAGGAACTACTGGGGGCTAGGCACACCAGTGAGCATGCTTCACAGCACCCCCTGAAGCAGACCCTATCAGAAACCCCATTTTAAAAATAAGGAAACTGAGGACCAGAGAGGTTGCTTGCTACTGTAAATTTTTGCCCCTAAAAATCCTGGCAGAAACTAACAGGGGCAACCATGACAGGGCCCACATAGGCAGTGGAGCAGCGGGACAGCCAGGTGCCTGAATGTCGTGTCTAAGGACTTGCAGAAAGACAGAGGTGCAGGTTACAGGGAGTGGGCAAGGGGTAGGAAGCAAGATGGGGCTTGACTTGGGGGCCCCAGGCAAGGCCTGTCCCTACAGCCAGCACAAGCAGGCCTCGTCTCTTCGCAGGGGCCTTCAAGAAGTACAGATCACTTTGGCGGCCAGACTGGGGGAGGCAGAGGAGAAAATCAAAGTCCTACATTCAGGTATGTGTCAGCACCATGTGGCCCAGAGAGAGGACTGGGAGGGGACGGTAATGCTGTCAACGAGGGGTCATGGCTTGGGGTCTGCCACATCCAGGTGTTTTAGAATCAAGAAGGCAAAATGGGAGTTTGGGAAGAATAATCTTACCCAGTGGGGGTCCAAGCCTCTATGCCCCAGAGGCTACATTGCTGTGGAAAGAGGATTTGAGACAAAGTTAATTCAGGTGGTGGCCAAGCATGGTGGCTCACACTTGTAATCCCGGCACTTTGGGAGGCTGAAGTGAGAAGACTGCTTGAGCCCCAGAGTTTGAGACTGGCCTGGGCAACATGGCAAGACCCTGTCTCTAATTAATTAATTAATTTAATACAACCCCTGCAGGCGCCAAAACACTACCAAGCCGCTGACTTAGGGGAGGCATTGGGGAGGGGTGAGGTCTGGGGCAAACTGGAGAAATGAGGCCTCATCTAAAGAGACAGCCACTGCTTAGCACCAGCTGGGTGCTGCCATATGGTCCCCTGTGGCCAGGCCCTTCCATTTGCCCAGAGAAATTAGAAATCTGGAGTTTGATGAATCTGTTCATTGTGTGGATCTTCCCTGTCCTCCAGCCTGCCAGGTTGGAACCGCGGGGTGGTTGAGCACATGGATGGATGGCCCTGCCCAGGTCCTGAAGTGATTTAAGGGTGTTGGGGGGTTTATACCCCAGGTCATGGGGCAGACAGCACCACGCCTCTACCCCTCAACCCTGGCCTGGGTCCCCTGAGCTTCTAGGCCCATGGAGAGTACCTCATCCACCCTGCACTGCCCACCCCAGCCACTGCACATCCTTCTCACCAGCCTGAGCCCCTCTAGGGGCAGGAAACTCATTGCCTGTCACCAATTCTGACTGAGAGAAAGGTCTCTGTCACTACCCAAGCTCTCATTCTGCCTGCTGGGCTTTGCAGAGGGAGTGGGCTCCACCTCCCTGGGAGACCCAGCTCCTTCCCACTTGGAGGTGGGGCCTTACCCTGCCTCTGCTTTCTCCCAGCGCTAAAGGCTACACAGGCAGAGCTGCTAGAGCTGCGGCGGAAATACGACGAGGAGGCGGCATCCAAGTAAGTGAGCCCTGCTGAGGTGTACCTCCTCCCTCGGACCCTCCCAGTCAGGCCTCCTCCTTCGGACCCTCCAGTACTTGCCTCCACCCTCTGACCCTCCAGTACTTGCCTCCTCCCTCTGACCCTCCCAGACGTGCTGCCTCCCTCTGACTTTCCCAGACAGGCCTTCTCCCTCTGACCCTCCCAGACACGCCTCGTCCCTCTGACCTTCCCAAATACGCCTCCTCCCTCTGACCCTCCCAAACATGCCTCCTCCCTCTGATCATCCCAGACACGCCTCCACCTCTGGCCCTCCAGTACTTGCCTCCTCCTTCTGATCCTCCAGGACTTACATCCTCCTTCTGTCCCTCCAGACATGCCTCTTCCCTCTGACCTTTCAGACATGCCTCCTCTTTCTGACTCTTCTCCTTCATCTGACTCTCTGCTGGAGGCCCCCATTTCATTAAGCACCCCTGCTCCTCACCCCCAAAGGCACACTGCTGTCATTTGCTATGCCACTTGCATACCACAGCCATAAATAATGTTCTGGGACCTGGGCTGAGCAAGGGGCTGCTTGGTGGTGGCCTGCCCCTTTGCCCTGGCCCCCTGGGACTGTCCCCACTCCCCAGCTCCACACTCCAATCCTCAGGGCTGAGAGGCATTCACCTAAATTACTCTGGACTCAAGCGTGTATTTAGGCTTTAAGAAATCATTCCTTCTGCAAACACTTATTGAGCACCTACTGTTTATCCAGTGCTGTTCTGCGTCCTTGGAGGAAACATGAGAACATGACCCTGTCCTCAATCAAGAAGAGGAGACAAAAACTGATGTGCAGTGATACATTTGTTCATTCACACATACTGAGCACTTTCTGTATGCCCAGCACTGTTCTTGGCACATGGCAAATGCTACAAAGGGAAGAACTGGGGACGGGAAAAGAGAATGACAAGAAGGAGTGGGTCCTTTATCCAGGGTAGTCAGGGAGAACTCCCTGGAGGAGGTGGCTTTCAGAATGAAGAGAAGGCCACGTGAAGAAAGCAGGGAAGGGTGCTCCAGGCAGCAGGAAAAGCTTGAGCCAAGGAAGGCCCTAAGCATGCATGAAGCACGTGTGTGGCCTTGAGTGCTCCCCACATGCCCCCCGCATCTCCCATCCCCTGCTAACAGAGGGGACACCTCTTCCAAGCCCCTCCATGCTGGCAGTCTGGAGGGGGCTGGGCAGCGCAGTAAACAAGTGACCACTGGGGACAGTGCAGGGCGGCCTCCCAGGAGAACACTGTGATCAGGATTTTAAAGCCAAGGGCCGTTTTCTTGAGGAAGGGCATTCCAGGCACCACCGGGACAAAGGCTTGGAGGTGGAGTTCAGAGAGGGCCCCTGGGGGAGAGGGGAGGCCAGACTGCCTGGAAGAGGTGCAGTGCTGACGCGCTACTCCCTTTTCCTCACAGCCTAGGCTCTTTTCTCCCCAGCCCGATTTCTCTCCTGTAGCAAGGCTGGAAGGGAGTGCCTTCAGCCCTCCCCTGGGCTCAGGCAGGGGCTGGGGGTGTCAGGAGGGGCGGAGGCCTGGAGCCCGCTGGAAGCCCTTCCTCAGGGCCTCATCTTTGTGTCTCAGGGCAGATGAAGTCGGCCTGATCATGACCAACCTGGAGAAAGCTAATCAGGTGAGGAGGCGCAGTTCCCGCCCGTGGGTGCTGAAGGTTCCCTCTGCCTGGGGTGGGGGTCTCGGGCCAGACGAGGAGGAAGGGACAGAGCTTCGTCAATATTTATTCAACTGTGGGTCCTGTGCATGCCAAGTGAGGGAGCCAGGAGGGGTCTGGGCCCCAGGCCCTGCCCTCTCCAAGCTCCCAGGGTGGGCCCGGGGTGGGGGTTGGGGTAGGGAATACAGACAGACACACTTGGAAATACAGTGCTCCAAGCAGCAACAGGCAGGAAGGGGCCCCTGACCCAGACTGCAGGAGTCCAGGAAGACATCTGAGAGGAAAGGATGTGGAGCTAAGACCCAAAGAATGAATGACAGCGTATCTAGGCACGGATTCTTAAGTGAGGCTCCTGCATCCTGCCTTCCTCCAGCTCAGAGGTGCTGCCATCTGGTGGGCAGAGTCAAGCAGGACTTTAAAAGAAGGGCGACCACAGCCAGGGGGCTCTAGCCCAGAGTCTTGCGTGTCCACCACATCTGTCCCCCAGCTCCCTGCAGTGCCACCAGCCAGAGACATGGCCAGGAGAGGGCAGCAGGGCCTCGAGCCCTCTGTCCCTAGGCCCATCTTCCTGTCTGTGGGGTGGGAGAAGATACCCACCTGCCCCAAGGTCTGCGGGCCCTCAGGGAGAGAGGTCATTTTCCCCAGGGGCAGTTAAGAGGGGCCTCTTGGAAGAGACTTTGCAGCTGGGTTTCAGAGTCCTGATGCTGTTCCCTGAGGGAGGGCAGCCAGGTAGAAGGCTCAGCAGGGGCAGAGGCCCGAGGTGTGGCTCTATGGGCACAGGGTGGGGGCACTCCCTCCTGCAGAGGAGACTTGGATAAAAGGGTTGATTCTATGTCCCTGGGAAGCCACCCGAAGGTGCAGGCCTGGGATGGAAGTGCTGAGACTCTATGAGCCCCTACTTCTATAGAAGCAGTGTCCCCTAGGAGGGTCAGGAAGGCCAAAGACAGGGCCAGGTCACAGTGGTGGTGGTGACCGCAGTGGCTTCCCTGGGCTTAGGTCCAGCATAGTTTTCTGAAATGACCATTAAGTGAGCCCCATTTTGTATAGGCTACATAGCCTTTTTAGTGTGATTTTTTGAATAGGTAATGCATTCATGTAGTTCAGAACTCAAGAAGCTACACAAGGGCCTGCCTTGGCAAGTCCAGCCCTCCTCCCAATTCTCTCCTGCAGCAGCCTCTCTTAGCAGCCCCTGGATTCTCCTTCCAGAGATGGTCAATCCATTCACAAGCCCACGAATATATCTTTTTTGGGGGGGCAAGGGGGACAGGGTCATACTCTGTCGCCCAGGCTGGAGTGAAGTGGCACAATCACGGCTCACTGTAGCCTTGACCTCCCCGGCTCAGATGATCCTCCCACCTCAGCCTCCCAGGTAGCCAGTTATCTGGAAACAGAGGCTTGCACCACCACGCTGTGCTAATTTTTTGTATTTTTTTGTAGAGACGAGGGTTTACCATGTTGCCCAGAATACAGGGTATCACTTTGTCATCCAGGCTAGAGTGCATTGCTGCAATCACAGCTCACTGCAGCCTCAACCTCTGGGGCTCAAGCAATCCTCCTGCCTCAGCCCCCCAAGTGGCTGGGACTACAGGTATGCACCACCACACCCGGCTAATTTTTATATGTTTCGTAGAGATGCGGTTTTGCCATGTTGTGCAGGCTGATCTCAAACTCTTGAGCTCAAGCAGTCCACCCTCCTGGGCCTCCCAAAGCACTGGGATTAGAGGTGTGAGCCACTGTGCCCAGCCACCCCTTTTAAAAACAAAATAATAATATCCTATGTATACCATTGTGAACCTTACTTTTTCCCTGTCTATATCTTTGAGCTCCTTCCGTATCAGTATAAAAAGCAGCTCCTCTGTTTTACAGCTGTGTGGTGTTCCTCGGCAGGGTGCCCCATCGTCTAACCCAGGGGAGGGCAAGCTTTCTGTAAAGAGAGAGTAAATATTTTCAGCTGTGCAATCCATACAGTCTCTGACACAGATTTTCAACTTTGCCATTATAGCATGAAAATATAGACAATATGTAAGTGAATGAGCATGGCTGTATTCCAATAAAACTTTATAAGAACGGGCAAGGCTGCACACAATGGCTCATGCCTCTAATCCCAACACTTTGGGAGGCCGAGGTGGGATGATCACTTGAGCCCAGGAGTTTGAGACCAGCCTGGGAAACATAGGGAGACCCCATATCTACAAAAAATTTTAAAATTAGCCAGGCTTGGTGGTGTACGCCTGTAGTCCCAGCTACTCAGGAGGCTGAGGTGGGAGGATCACCTGAGCCTAGGGAGATGGAGGCTGCAATGAGTTATGATCATGCTACTGCATTCCAGCCTGGACGACAGAGTGAGACCCTATCTCAAAAAAACAAATAAATAAATAATAAAATAAACAATCTTATAGTACTTGGAATAGGAAGCATAGGAAGCATTTCTCATAATGTTTCTCCTAAGTCCAAAACTAAAACCCACACATTATAGAGACGTATGGAGAAGAAAATAAATGTCACTCTATTAGGTTTTTAATCTCTGTATTTATTAATACTATTTTAATGAGGATGCTGGGGTACAGCAGATCCATATTATTACTTACAGGATAATAACCACACCAGTTTGCCCCGATTCTTACTCCTGGGGTGAGAAAATGAGAGCCAGCTATCATCCCACATGTACTTGAGTTTGTACTCTAGGCGAAGACTGCCCCAACTCTGAATCTAGGTGTTCACCTGGGGACCTTCTGAGACAGGGAGGGAAAGAATCTACCTCCCAAGTGTCATGTGGACAGAGACAAAGACCCTGGCTTTTAGTCTTTGGAATGGAAACGCATCTCTTGAGGGGGAGATAAGACTAGTAGCTTTTTATGTTTTTCTTTTCCAAGAGACAGGGTCCAGCTCTGTCACCCAGACCGGAGTGCTATGGCAAGATCATAGCTCACTGCAGCCTCAAACTCCTGGGCTCAGGGGACCCTCCCAAGTAGCAAGGACTACAGGTTCACACCACCACACCCATGATTTTTTCTTCTGGTTGTTGTCGTCGAGATGGGGTCTTGCTATGTTGCCCAAGCTGGTCTCAAACTCATGGCCTCAAGCAATCCTCTCACAGTGCTGGAATTACAAGCATAAGCCACCATGCCTAGCCCCAACTAATTGCTTTAAAACCCAGCTTTACTGTTCAGGGTCTGTCTCTGTGCTGTGGGTCTCACCCACCCTTGATGTCTAAACACATAAACCTCCAGGGAAGGAAACCTCTGGGGTTCTCAGTAGCTGATCAGCCATGAGTTGAATTTCCAAGGCTTGTCCTTTAGTCCAGATCTCAACTTTCAATCAGATATGCTCAGAGAGCCCTAACTATACAGAAACATAAAAATATTTCCTTTACAGTCCCACACACCAGGAAACTCTTCCTAAAACAAAATTGAACCGTTTCTGGAACAAGGCAAGATACGTATAAATAAATAATAAATTCAAATGTGAACATGAATGTGTGTGGGTCTCAGTATGCATACATTGGGCATAGCATCCTGATTGTCAAGGTCAGTATAGAGTTAAACATAATCACTATGACCTGCATTACCAGCCAAAGGTAAAAATACAGCCACAGCTCTTTCAATTCTCTAAGTAATGGCTCCAGTAATATACCCTCATGATGTTAACAAAGTTAGCCAATTATTGATGCATTTATATGTGCCAGGCACCAAGCGAAGATATGTACCAAATTGCATTTGGCCAAACCACTTCATTTGCAGAACAACCCTATGAGATAGTTGCCTTTATAATCCCCATTTTATTAATAGGGAAACTGAGTTTGGGGAGATGAATCCTCTTGCCTAAGATCATATAACCAGAAAGCTGCAAAGTCAGGATGTGAGCCCAGATTTCTCTCCAAAGCCACAAGGTTAAATGTATTAACATTTGGGTGCTTCCTTCCAGGTAGAAATTTGAAGAGTTGAGATCTACCAGCTGGGTGTGGTGGCTCATGCCTGTAATCCCAGCACTTTTGGCAGGCTGAGGTGGATGGATTGCTTGAGCCCAGGAGTTAGAGACCGGCCTGGCCAACATGGAAAAACCCCATCTCTACTAAAAATACAAAAGTTAGACAAACCTGGCAGCACACACCTATAATCCCAGCTACTCAGGAGGCTGAGGCAGGAGAATTGCTTGAACCCAGGAGGTGGAGGTTGCAGTGAGCCAAGATCGCACCACTGCACTCCAGCCTAGGCAACAAAGCAAGACTCTGTCTTTAAAAAAAACACACACACAAAGAAAAACAAAGAAATCTACCAGCTGGGCACAGTAGCTCAGGCCTGTAATCCCAGCACATTGGGAAGCCAAGGCAAGTGGGTTGCTTGAACCCAGGAGTTCAAGACCAGCCTGGCCAACATGGCAAAACCCATCTCCACTAAAACTACAAAAATTAACCAGGCATGGTGGTGCCCACCTGTAATCGCAGTTATTCAGGAGGCTGAGATGGGAGGATCGATTGAACCTGGGAGTTGGAGGCTGCTGTGAGCCCTTATTGCACCACTGCACTCCAGCCTGGGTGACAGAGCGAGACCCTGTCTCAAAGAAAAAAAAAAAAAAAATCTACCATAGACCCGGTTTAGTGAACTGTTGCATTCTGATTTTAACCACTCAAAACCCCTTTTTGTTAGATGTTTTTATTGCCCCCCATTTCAAAAAGAGAAACTGAGCCAGGCATGATGGCTCACTCCTATAATCTCAGCACTTTGGAAGGCTGAGGCAGGTGGATCACCTGAGGTCAGGAGTTCAAGACCAGCCTGGCCAACATGGTGAAACCCTGTCTCTACTAAAAATACAAAAAATAGCCTGGTGTAGTGGTGTGCACCTGTAATCCCAGCTACTTGGGAGGCTGAGGCAGGAAAATCTTGTGAACCCAGGTGGGGGAGGCTGCAGTGAGCCAAGATTGTGCCACTGCACTCCAGCCTGAGTGACACAGTGAGACTCCATCACAAAAAATAAATAAATAAATAAATAAATAAATAAATAAATAAATAAAAATAAACTGAGACCTAGAGAGGAAATGACTTGCCCAGGGGCTGCAATAGCCTGTGGGCTGGGAAAGCACCTCTGCAGATGCTGTGTCTGGAACTCAGTCCATACCAGGTGGCATGAGAGTTGGGACAGCTCTTGCATTTGGACTAGCCAGGCCTGAAATTAATGTGGCAGACAGAAGTATCTAGAAATGTGTGAAAACCTGCCACTCCCACCCAGACTGCCTCTCTCTCCCTGCCTTTGTAGAGCAGGAATGTTCTGACTCCCTGGGGGTCCCACGCACCCCACGAGAACCCAGAACCTCCTCAGAGGGGCATTTCTTCCTGTCCTTTCAGCTCAGGAGTAACCTCAGAGGCTGCTATTTCTTGTCCCCAGCCCAGACAGGGCTCTGTGACTGGTCTTCATAGCTCCAGGACAGGGTCCGGGACTAGGAGGGCAGGACCTGAGGCCCCCGGAGGTCCGCCTCCCCAAACCCTGCCTGAGACAGTGCAGGGAGAAGGTGGAAGTGCAGAGTGGGCTCTGCGGTGGCCATGCTCACCTCTCGCCCACGCTGTCCCCTTCTCCCCAGCGAGCTGAGGCTGCCCAGCGGGAGGTGGAAAGTCTCCGGGAACAGCTGGCCTCTGTCAACAGCTCCATCCGCCTGGCTTGCTGCTCTCCCCAGGGGCCCAGTGGGGTAAGGATGGGGTCGGGGAAGTGAGCAGGGAGGGCAGAGGGAAAGATCGGGAATGGCTGAGTTTGTGGGTTTCAGCATGTGAGTGACACTTTGTGGTTGATTGCGTGCATCCATTTGAAACTGGCAGTGTGAATGTGTGTGGGTCTCTGTGCATACACGGAGTGTAATCACTATGACCTGCTACACCAGCTGAGGATAAAAATACAACCACAGTTCTTTACTTTTCAAGCCTAAGTTTCCATATATCCTTTATTACCAGGAGTTCCAATATCTTCCTTTGAAGGCCTCCCTTACCCCCAGTTGTCCAAGAATGCCAGAAACCTCCTCAGACCAAAGATCATTCTGATTGCCAGATGCACCAGCAAGGATGTGGGGGAGAGTGAGTTTGAGGCAATACAGCAGCATGCAGTTTTTGTGGATGCCACCAGGTGTCGCTGTTGAACACTGGTCATAGCAGCTTGGTGGATGCCAGGGATGATGATGCCCCTGCTGGTTTTCAGTCCCAAAACTGGGTACTTTCAGGAGTATGAGCCAGCCAACATATCAATAGGCAATCATCACCCGGACTGCAGTGGGGCCACATACCAAGATAAAATTTAACATTCATACTCAGCCATTGGTTTCCAAATCATGCCAGGTGATTCTAGGGGGATTTCCCACCCCAGGCACATGCTGTGAAGAGCCAGTCTTCGGTAATCAACCCTGAGGTTCTTGTGTTAGGCCTAATTAATCAATTCATCTTTCTCTTTCCTCCTGGTTTGTGCCTCTTTGGGGTCCTGGTGTCATTTCTTGATGAGACTTTCATCAAGGCCACCCCAACCTACCCTTCTGTCCTATATTAGCAGTCTCCATCCTGGCTCTCCCAGAAAGCCGTGGGTTCATTATGTGAATTGGTCTGCCTTCTTTCCAGATCTCTGCATACCTAGGGGTGAGATTCATGATTCCTTACATAATAACAGGTCTGCTCCAGGGTGACTTCCCTCTCCACCCATGAACCAGAACTTGAGAGCATAATTTTCACTTCACCTGACACCCACATATACAGGCCCAGGTGTCTATGTCTCTCTTTCCATTTGAATATTGCAATGAGTCTCTGTGAATGTGTTACTGTGTATGTATGTCTCTACTTGTGACCTTTGGGCAACTGACTGTATTCTTAATCTGACTGTGCCTCAGTTTCCTCATCTATACAAGTAACACCTACTTTATAGGGTTATTAAAAGGATTACATGAGTCAGGCATGGTGGCACATGCCTGTAGTCCCAGCCACTTAGGAGGCTGAGGCAGGAGGATCTCTTGAGCCCATGAGTTTGAGTCCAGCCTGGGCAACATAGCAAGATCCTGTCTCTGAAAAAAAAATGGATTACATGTAAAGTGCCTAAAATGGTGCTTGGGTCATTGTATATGCTCACTAAGTATTTGATGCTACTATTATAATTATTAATGTGTCTTTGGTATGTCTGGGATGTTTTTGCTCAGGAGAGCATGTAGCTTCTTTGGGCACATGCATGTCTGTTATGTGTGATGATGTGTCCTTGTGAGTGTCTCTCTTTGATGCATGAGTATTTGTGTGTGTCAGCATATTTGGGAAAGTACATGTGTTAGTGTGTGCTGTGGCTATAGGTGTGTCCTTGTGTGTCAGCCTGTGTCTGTGTCCCAGGAGATCGTGTGTGTGTCCATGTGCCTGGGTGATGGCATAACACAGACACAGTGAACACAGGGGAGAGAGGCTGTGTGGAGAGAGATGGAGAGTGAGAGAGCCCATGAGAATGCCTCATAGAGGAATTTGCCAATGGTTCTTAATTAACCCCCGTGGAACCCGGCAAATGCCTGTGCTAATCAGCCCCAGGGAACTTTGCTGGTTTGGGGGGTGTGCTTTTCTGAGCACAACAGTGGCACTCGATGCTAATTAATTTAATGTATTAATGGCATCCGCTTCCTGTTTTAATTGGCATTTATCTCCATGGAAGAAAGCTGGGGTTGGGTTGGGGCCTTTTGTTTGTTTGGTTTTTTTTTTTAAGTGTTTCTTAGATTTATTTGTAACTAAGCCTGACATCAGCCTGACTTCAGGTTCCTCAAACAGCAACCTCTCCATCTTCATCCAGGACAGAGGGGCCATTTCCTAAAATGTGGAGAAGCCATAGGTCTTGGGGCTATCAGCAAATTAGGCAGAGGAAGGAACCACCCATAACGTGGCCCGTGGCTCTAAGGTGTCAAGTCTAATCCTGAGGGTCCCTTGTTGCCTAGAATGGGGATATACCCCTGGAGCAGGAGCCAGACCTGAGCGAGAAACAAACTTTTGCCTATGCTGATTCCTCTGTCACGAGTGCCCAATCCCCAACCCCAGCTGACTACTTCTTTTTGTCATAGTTGTTCTTTTTTAATAAATCTTTTAATCAAAGTGTAACTTAATACATAAGGAAAAGTGCACAAATCATAAGTGTACAGCACTTTGAATTTTTCAACACAAACACACCCCATACCATCATCCAGATCAACAAATGTACATTCTGCTTGGGATTCAGGGGTGGGGAGGCCAGACCTGTGGACCCCAGTCCCTCACCTCTCAGCCCCTCAAAGACCCCTTTGCCTGCAGGATAAGGTGAACTTCGCTCTGTGCTCGGGCCCTCGGCTGGAGGCCGCGCTGGCCTCCAAGGACAGGGAGATCCTGCGGCTGCTAAAGGATGTGCAGCACCTCCAGAGCTCGCTGCAGGAACTGGAGGAGGCATCCGCCAACCAGATCGCTGACCTGGAGCGGCAGCTCACAGCCAAGTCCGAGGCCATAGAAGTGGGTCCTGGGGAGGGGGCGGGGGGCAGGCGGCCCCAGGCCGAAGCACACAGACCAGCCTCACCATCTTTCTTTGCTCTTCTAGAAGCTGGAAGAGAAGCTCCAGGCCCAGTCTGACTATGAAGAAATTAAAACGGAGCTGAGGTACCATGTGGGGTGGGGCTCCACAGACCCCCAGCACTGTTCCCTGGCCAGGAGCGCTTGGCATAGTTCATCATCTTCCTCCCTCCTACTAAACCCCATTTGTTCTCTCCAGTAACACTGTGGATATCAAACCTTAACCATCCTTAGGCTGGGTGCAGTGGCTCATCCCTGTAATCCCAACACTTTGGGAGGCCAAGGCAGGAGGATCGCTTGAGCTCAGGAGTTTGAGACCAGCCTGGGCAGCCATGGGGATAACCCATCTCTACGAGAAAAAAACAGTTTTAATTAGCCAGGAGTGGTGGTGGTGCGTGCTGTAGTCCCAGCCACTCAGGAGGCTGATCTGGCCACTCAGGAGGCTGATGTGGGAGGATTGCTTGAGCCTGAGAAGTCAAGGCTGCAATGAGCTGTGGTGGCACCACTGCACTCCAGCCTGGACAACACAGTGAGACCCTGTCTCAAAAACAAAACAAAACGAAATTCAACCATCTTCAGTCGTTTTCCATCAAGAGCTGCCTGTACAGGCAATTCACCTGAGGTCAGGAGTTCAAGACCAGCCTGGCCAACATGGCAAAACCCCGTCTCTACTAAAAATACAAAAATTACCCAGGTGTGGTGGCGCTCACCTGTAGTCCAAGCTACTTGGGAGGCTGAGGCAGAAGAATCGCTTGAACTCGGGAGGTGGAGATTGTGCCACTGCACTCCAGCCTGGGTGACAGAGTGAGACTCTGTCTCAAAGAAAAAAAAAAAAACAATCTGCCTGCAGACCATACAAGGGAACTTATTATGGGCATGGTAACTGGGAGGTGATTCATTAACCAACTAAACTCAAGCTGGCCAGAATGGGATCAGTTCAGGCAACACCCCTCCAGGTAACACTGCCACCTGTTAATGAGCCTGCTACTTCAGGCCTGGGGTTGCAATGACTCTGGAATTAATGGGATTCTGGGGAATGGAGCAGTCATTGTCAGGGAGGTAAGCCAGGTCAGTGCCTCTTGCAAGACCTCTCCTCCAGCCCGGGGGCTGGCTGACCTCAGACCCTCTCCACTTGCTCCGGCAGTATCCTGAAAGCCATGAAGCTGGCCTCCAGCACCTGCAGCCTCCCCCAGGTAAGTGTCCCTGCCACCATCCCTGCAGGACGGGCTGTCCCAGTGAGCCTTCCATACACCAGGTGCCCTCTCAACCTGCCTCTTGTCTCCTAGGGCATGGCCAAGCCTGAAGACTCACTGCTTATTGCAAAGGAGGCCTTCTTCCCTGCGCAGAAATTCCTTCTGGAGAAGCCCAGCCTCCTGGCCAGCCCTGGTAGGGGAGGAGGATACTCTGGGGCTGAGGGCTGGGGCGGGGACTGCCTGTGGGTCTCTGGCCTTCTCATGCCCAAGGACCACTGCCTTCCATGCAGGCAGGAGAGCGACAGAACAACAGGTGTGCATTGATTTGGCAGCTGCTGTGTGCCTGTCCTGCAGGGCATCCACACACACCCATGTCACAGTTGGGGTCACACAGCTGACTTGGGCCCTTCCAAGGCCCTCTAAAGGGCTCCACTCCCTGCTGAGCCTTCTTGAGCTGCAGGGGCTTTCATGAAGAGGTTACAGAGGGACAAGCAGGCATTCTCACTGCACCCCCACAGCCTACCACTGGGAAGCTGTGGACATGATCCCCCTCTCAGCTACCTGCTGACCTTTTTATTTTGAGACCAAGTCTCGCTCTGTCGCCCAGGCTGGAGTGCAGTGGTGCGATCTCAGCTCACTGCAGCCTCCACCTCCTGGGTTCAAGCAATTCTCCTGCCTCGGCCTCCCGAGTAGCTGGGATTGCAGGCATGCACCACCACACCTGGCTAATTTTTATGTTTTTAGTAGAGACGGGGTTTCATCACGTTGGCCAGGCTGATCTCAAACTCCTGACCTCAGGTGATCTGCCTGCCTTGGCCTCCCAAAGTGCTGGGATTACAAGCGTGAGCCACCGCACCCGGCCACTCGCTGACCTTTTAACCTTGTGACCCCAGGCAGGATTCTGTGCTGCCTCTGTTTCCTCATCCATAAAATGGGTGTGACCTTGGGGCCTGCTTCGTGGGTACAGGTCTAGTGAGTCAGCTCCAGGGTGGGTGCCCAGCAAGGGCCCATCTGCAGGTGGTGGCGAGTTCGACTTCCCATCCGAGGCCCAGGTGCTGGGCCCGTGGCACGTTCTTGGCTAATGCTCTTGGTGATGGGGTGGGGTACTCCCCAGAGCTGGCATTTGGATCGGGCCTGGAAGAGTGGGGCTTGGAGAATGGAGGGGTAGGGCAGAAACAGCCAAGGTCGGCACTTCCAGCTGCTGGACACCTGTAGCACTGTTCCCCACCCCATCTCCCCACCAACCCCTTCCCTCCTTCTCCTCCTTCCTTCATTTCTGACTTTCTGTCTCTATATATGTCTCTGTCTCTGTCTCTCTCCCCGACCCCACCCCGCCTCTCTCCCCGTCCCTCTCTCCCCCGCCTCTCTCCCCGCCCCTCTCTGTCATGTGGTTTCTCTGTCTCTCTCATTATCTCTCTCTCTTTGTCTCTCTCACATGTGGTCTCTGTCTCACGCGCTCTCTCTCTGTCCCTCTCATGTGGTTTCTCTCTGTGTCTCTCTTTCTCGTTGTCTCTATCTGTCTATCTCCCCCTCTGGTTCTTTTTCTCCCTGTCTCTGTCTCCCCTCATCATTGTCTTCCCCATCTGTCTGTCTGTCTGTCTGGGTGTTCTAGAGGAAGACCCATCAGAGGACGATTCCATCAAGGATTCGCTGGGCACGGAGCAGTCCTACCCCTCCCCTCAGCAGCTCCCACCTCCACCAGGGCCTGAAGACCCCCTGTCTCCCAGCCCGGGGCAGCCCCTGCTTGGCCCCAGCTTGGGGCCTGATGGCCCTCGGACTTTCTCGCTGTCCCCCTTCCCCAGCCTGGCATCAGGGGAGAGATTGATGATGCCCCCAGCCGCCTTCAAGGGAGAGGCGGGCGGCCTGCTGGTGTTCCCCCCAGCCTTCTATGGCGCCAAGCCCCCCACAGCCCCTGCCACCCCGGCCCCTGGCCCTGAGCCACCAGGCGGTCCTGAGCCTGCCGATGGTGGTGGGGGCGGAGCGGCGGGGCCTGGGGCAGAGGAGGAGCAGCTGGACACGGCAGAGATCGCCTTCCAGGTGAAGGAGCAGCTGCTAAAACACAACATCGGGCAGCGGGTGTTTGGGCATTACGTGCTGGGGCTATCGCAGGGCTCGGTCAGCGAGATCCTAGCCCGGCCCAAGCCCTGGCGCAAGCTCACGGTGAAGGGCAAGGAGCCCTTCATCAAGATGAAGCAGTTCCTATCGGATGAGCAGAACGTGCTGGCGCTCAGGACTATCCAAGTGCGGCAGCGAGGTGAGTGCCCAAGAGGGCCTGTCCCTGCTGGCCACCACGCCAGGTCCAGGGCATCAGGGCTGGGGGCTGAGGACATGAGCTCTGGGTTCAAAACCCAGCTCTGCCACCTCCTGGCTGTGTGACCCAGGGCCAGTGACTTTGCCTCTCTATGCCTCAGTTTCCCCTCTGTAAAAGCAGGAAATACATCCTCACCACCCTCTCCTTCCTGGCCCTAGCCAGAGACAGGCTGCCCTTCCTGGGGCACTCAGGATAAGGGTGGTGGGAAAAGTCTCCAGCTGCTGCCCTGGCAGGTACTCACTAAACACTTCCAAGCCTCAGTTTACACATTTGTAAGACTGCCAGCCTTACCAGACTTGATTTTTTGGGTAATCAGTGTGAAGGGTCCTAGCTGTGGCCTCACAGATGCCTCAGTTTGAGTCCCAGCTCTGCTCTTCACCCACTAGGTGACCTCAGACAACTCCTTTCATCTGTGCCCCGGTTTCTGCATCTGTCAGCCTCCAGGAGACACCATGAGGATTAAACGGGCATCAAACACTGACCACAGCACCTGGCACACAGTGCTGCTTGAGAACTGTTAGGGGCAGCAGTTGCCATAGTCATTGTCATCATCATTTCTTTTTTTTTTTTTTTTTTTTTTCCTTTGAGATGGAATCTCACTCTGTCACCCCGGCTGGAGTGCAGTGGCACAATCTCAGCTCACTGCGATGTTTGCCTCCTGGGTTCGAGCAATTCTGCTGTCTCAGCCTCCTTAGTAACTGGGACTACAGTTGCACGCCACCATGTCCAGCTGATTTTTACATTTTTAGTAGAGACGGGATTTCACCATATTGGTCAGGCTGGTCTCAAACTCCTGACCACAGGTGATCCACCCGCCTTGGCCTCCCAAAGTGCTGGGATTACAGGCGTGAGCCACCGCACCCTATTTCTTTATTTTTATTTTATTTTATTTTTTTTTTTTGAGACAGAGTCTGGTTCTGTCACCCAGACTGGAGTGCAGTGGCACAATGTCGGCTCACTACAACCACTGCCTCCTGGGTTCAAGCGATTCTCCTGCCTCAGCCTCCTGAGTAGCTGGGATTACAGGTGCACAGCACCATGCTTGGCTAATTTTGTATTTTTAGTAGAGACAAGGTTTCACCATGTTGGCCAGGATAGCCTCAAACTCCTGACCTCAAGTGGTCCTCCCACCTCGGCCTCCCAAAGTGCTGGGATTATGGGCATGAGCCACCATGCCTGGCCTCATTATTATGATTCTTATTTCAAGCCAGAATCACTCATAGGCCCACAGTTTGTTAGGCAGACTAAGCGGTGGCTCTGCCATCTCACTGATGGTCTAACCCTCACTCTCCCGGGAGGAGGAGACAGCCCCCTACCCCACCAGGCTCTGGAGACTGAGCCCAACATGCAGATCCTGCCACAGATGCCTTCTTGCCTCCCCAGGCAGCATCACCCCGAGAATCCGCACACCCGAGACGGGCTCGGACGACGCCATCAAGAGCATTCTAGAGCAGGCCAAGAAGGAGATCGAGTCGCAGAAGGGCGGTGAGTGTGACCCCTGCAGGCAAGGCCTGAGGCCCCCAGGGCCAGCTGTGAACAGGAGGTGAGGCCCCGTCTGCCTTTGTCCGCCCCAGAGGGAATCCAGGTGGATCAGAACCGCCAGAGCCAGAGGGACCCATCTTGAGTGCATGGGTGGTCGTGGCACCGCTCAGAACCCTGCCACGGCTCTCAACATAAATCTCAACCCTTGGCCAGACACAGCAGCTCATGCCTGTAATCCCAGCACTTTGGGAGGCCAAGGTGGGCTGATCACCTGAGGTCAGGAGTTCGAGACCAGCCTGGCCAACATGGTACAACCCCATCTCTACTAAAAATACAAAATTACCTGGGCATGGTGATACATGCCTGTAATCCCAGCTATTCAGGAGTCTGAGGCAGGAGAATTGCTTGAACCTGGGAAACGGAGGTTGCAGTGAGCCAAGATCACACTACTGCACTCCAGCCTAGGTGACAAAGTAAGACTCCATCAAAAAAAATAAAAGAAAAATATCCCAAGACTGGACAAGGCCTACAGGCCCTACAGTCTTCAGGCCCCTCCGTGCCTGTCACGTGAACTGTTCACAGTCATGCCCAGCTGCCGTGCACCCCACCCTGCGCCTCTGATGCTGTCCTTACCCTGGATGCCTTTCACCTGGCCAACTCCTGCTCATACCTATGACCCAACTCAGAAGTCACCTCCTGCAAGAAGATGGATTGGACACTGTGCCCACCTCCCTCCACCCCTACCACAATGACCTGCTTGCTTGCTGCAGTGGAGCTGGACTGGCCACTAATTGCTGGCTCTGCTGTTTATTGACTGTGTGACCTTGGGCAAGTTACTTAGCCTCTTTGTGCCTTCATCCTCTTTTTTTTTTTTTTTTTTTTTGAGACGGATTCTCACTCTGTCACCCAGGCTGGAGTGCAGTGGCACAGTCTCGGCTCACTGCAACCTCCGCCTCCTGGGTTCAAGCGATTCTCCTGCCTCAGCCTCCTGAGTAGCTGGGATCACAGGCACGCACCACCATGCCCGGCTAATTTTGTGCGTGTGTGTGTGTGTGTGTGTGTGTGTGTGTGTGTGTGTGTTTAGTAGAGACGGGGTTTCACCATGTTGGTCAGGCTGCTCTTCAACTCCTGACCTCGTGATCCACCTGCCTCAGCCTCCCAAAGTGTTGGGATTACAGGCGTGAGCCACCGTGCCCGGCCCATCTTCTCATCTTTAGAATGGGGACTGTGGGTGGCCGAGGTGGGCGGATCACCTGAGGTCAGGAGTTCAAGACAAGCCTGCCCAACGTGGCGAAACCCCGTCTCTACTAAACATACAAAAAAATTAGCTGGGCATGGTGGTGCATGCCTGTAACCCCAGCTACTTGGGAGGCTGAGGCAGGAGAATCTCTCAAACCCAGGAGGCGGAGCTTACAGTGAGCTGAGATCACACCACTGCACTCCAGCCTGGGCGACAAGAGCGAAACTCCATCTCAAAAAGAAAAAAAAAGGCGGGGAGGGACTGTATTAGTTTTCCTTTCTCAGGGTTGTGTGAGGATCAAATGAGGTCAGTATAATCCTGAAAGATCAGCCATCATTACAGCAAATATTATCATTATTACCTCCTTGTTGCAGTTCCGCGCTGTCACAAACGACTCTGCTTGTGTGGCTGTCCCTCCCTGTGCTGTGGGGGCTTCTTGCAGCCAGGGACCGAGTTCCATCGTCACACCCAGCACAGCGTAGACTGTGGCTGACTGAGACCCTGGACTCCGGCTTCAAAGCCCTCCTCCATTTTTGCAGTGTCTGCTGCCCCCTGGTGGCTGCTCCGAGCAGGTGTCCTGAATCCCTCCAGTTGTCGCCAGGAGCCGAGATGTTTCTCAATGAATGGCCCTCCCTCCTGCCTGGTCCCTGGGAGGGGTGAGGGGAGAAGGGACTTACCCGGCTACCCTCCCCACCTGTAAAATCCCCTGAGCCTAATTTCCTTCTTGGTCAGTTCTAGTAGCAAGAGAGATGCAAGACAGAGAAGGATGTAATCATGCAGTAAACATTTATTAAGCACCTACTATGGACTAGACACGGGTTTCAGATATGGGTGAAACATGATATGGAGGTGAAAAGAACCATGAGAAATAACTAGCCAGAGCTGGGCACGGTGGCTCATGCCTGTAATCTCAGCACTCTGGGAGGCCGAGGCAAATGGATCACCTGAGGTCAGGAGTTTGAGACCAGCCTGGTCAATGTGGTGAAACCCTGTCTCTGCTAAAAATACAAAAATTGGCTGGGCATGGTAGTAGGTGCCTGTAATCCCAGCTATTTGGAGACTGAGGCAAGAGAATTGCTTGAATCTAGGAGGCAAAGGTTGCAGCAAGCCAAGATCATGCCACTACACTCCAGCCTGCGCAACAAGAGCAAAACTCAGTCTAAAAAAAAAAAAAGAAACCCCATCTCCTCTAAAAATACAAAAATTAGCCAGGTGTGGTGGCACACACCTGTGGTCCCAGCTACTCAAGAGACTGAGGCAGGAGGATCACCTGAGCCCAGGAGGCAGAAATTGTAGCGAGCCGAGATCTCATCACTACACTCCAGCCTGGGTGACAGAGTGAGATTCTGTCTTAAAAAAAAAGAATAGAAAAAGAAATAACTAGCCAAAGTCTCCCACTAAACTAACAGGACAACTGAGGCCAGGGAGGGAAGACATGAGTTCAGTTACACAGAGACAGAGGGAAACCCCAGGGCTCCCACCTCTTTATACAGCACTTTCTCCTGGGGGTCAGAAGCAGGCACCAGGGCAATGTCAAAGACAACATCGCAGCAGAGGAAAACGTTTGCTATCCATGGGCCAGCCGGTGGCCTTATATTCAGGGTCTAGGAGGAGTTCAGCAAGAGGAAAAATACAAAGGTTATTGCCCCATATCCCTGGCAAAAAAAAAAAAAAAAAAGAATGCTAAGCAGTGGGCACACTAGCCACTGCCGGGGAGGAAATGAATGTGACTAACTGCTCAGTCACAAGTTCTGCTTCTGGGATTCAAAGGAAATGTCCAGAATGGGGACAGGGGTTTATATGTAAGCCGTTCCCATCATTGTTCCTAAGAGTGACAAACTGGAAACAAAACAACCTAAGTGTCCAGCAGTGGGGGATCCAGTAAGTAAAGCAGATAATATCCCTTCAGTGGCATGTGCAGCCCTTAAAGGTAGAACTTTTAATGATAAGAAAAAATGGGGCCAGGCACGGTGGCTCACGCCTGTAATCCCAGCACTTTGGGAGGCCGAGGCAGGCAGATCACGAGGTCAGGAGATCAAGACCATCCTGGCGAACACGGTGAAACCCCGTCTCTACTAAAAATACAAAGAAATTAGCTGGGCGTGGTGGCGGGCGCCTCTAGTCCCAGCTTCTTGGGAGGCTGAGGCAGGAGAATGGCGTGAACCCGGGAGGCGACGGAGCTTGCAGTGAGTGGAGATCACGTGACTGCACTCCAGCCTGGGAGACAGCGAGACTCCGTCTAAAAAAAAAAAAAGAAAACAGACGGGAAGAGAATACTTGAAAATATTTCACGTGGTTGCCCCTAGGAGACAGTAAGGGGGACTTTCATTTTTCATCTTGACTTTTTGTGCTTTTTTTTGCATGCTCTTCTGTGCTCCCGTAGTAGGCAAGTATGAGGTTTTTTTAATCGAGGTAAAAATCTCGTAACATAAAATTAAGCCTTTTTTTTTTTTTTTTTTTTTTTTTTTTTTTTGGAGACAGAGTCTCTTGCTCTGTCGCACAGGCTGGGGTGTAGTGGTGTGATCTTGGCTCACTGCAACCTCCACCCTCCACCTCCCAGGTTCAAGCAATTCTCCTGCCTCAGCCTCCCGAGTAGCTGGGATTACAGGTGCGTGCCACCATGCCCAGCTAATTTTTGTATTTTTAGTAGAGACAGGGTTTCACCACGTTAGCCAGACTGGTCGCAAATTCCTGACCTCAAGTGATCTGCCTGCCTCAGTCTCCCAATGTGCTGGAATTATAGACATGAACCACCGTGCCCGGCCAAAATTAACCATTTTAAAGTGTACAGTTCAGTAGTATTTAGTACAGTGTTATGCAACCATCATCTCTCTCCAGTTCACACATGTTCATCACCCCAGAAGGAAACCCTATACCCATTAAGCAGTGCTTCTCCATTCCACTGTCCCCCCAGCCCCTGGCGACCACTGATCTGCATCCTGTTTCTGTGGATTGACCTATTCTGCACATTTTGTGTAAATGGAATCATATCATGTGTGCTACCTCGCGTCTGGCCTCTTCCACTCAGCCCCATGTTTGTAAGCCTCATTCCTGTTGTAGCCCCTGTCAGTGCTTCATTCCTTTTTATGACAAAATAATGTTCCATTGCTATATTACTTTTTAATTGGAAAAGCAATGAAAATTATTTTTAATGGGTCTAAGAGGACCCACTAGGATGAAAACTACACAAAGATAATGAAGAAGGGGTTACATTGATCTGGCTTTCTACAGAGCTGGAGAGACTCCAGTGTCGGGAACGCTACTCTGAGGGCAGAGGGAAGCACCTTTTCATTTACTGGTTAATTGTCATTCCTCAGGGCACAGATCCATCTATTATCCTTGGTTCATGGCACACTCATAGGGCTGCTGCCTGCATGGCCTTCTCCCGGGTGCGTGTGTGTGTATGTATGTACACATGTGCATATATATGTGTATATATGTGTGTGTATATTCATGCATTCATTCATTCATTCATGTAAATGACAGAATGAACCTCTGGGAACATATTGCCCAACCCAAGATTTAGAAAATTCCCAATAACTGACATCTGGCATTTTCCTCCCCCATCCCACCCCTGCCTTCCTTCCCCAGAAATGTCTTTCATCCTAAATTTTTGTCCTGTTGTTCCTTTGTGTTTGCCATTTGTAGAAAATATTTTTCACTAAATCATATATTGTTTATGTTGTTTGTTATGGAACTTGATAGAAAACACATGATACCGGCCAGGCGTGGTGGCTTACACCTATAATCCTAGCACTTTAGGAGGCCAAGGCGGGCAGATCATTTGAGCTCAAGAGTTTGAGACCAGCCTGGCTAACACGGTGAAACCCCATCTCTACTAAAAATACAAAAACAAAAATTAGCCGGCCCTGGTGTTGAGTGCCTGTAATCCCAGCTACTTGGGAGGCTGAGGCAAGAGAACTGCTTGAACCCAGGAGGCAGAAGTTGAGGTGAGCCGAGATCACGCCACTGCACTCCAGCCTGGGCGACAGAACAAGACTCAGTCAAAAAAAAAAAAAAAGAAAACATGTGATACTGAATGCCATCTTATTGGATTTGTTTTTGTTGTTGTTGTTTGAGACAGGCTGTCCCTCTGTTGCCCAGACTGGAGTGCAGTGGTGCAAACATGGCTCACTGCCACCTCGACCTCCCAGGATCAAGTGATCCTCCTGCCTCAGCTGGCACCGCAGGCATACACCATCATGCCTGGCTATTTTTTTTTTTTTTTTTTTACTTTTTTTGTAGAGTCAGGGTCTCATTTTGTTGCCTAGGCTGGTCTTGAGCTCCTGGGCTCCAGTAATCCTCCTGCCTCCACCTCCGAAAGTGCTGGGATTATAAGCATAAGCCACTGCTCCCAGCCTGGACCTGCTTTTTTCACTCAATATTATGTTATTAGGTTTCACACAAAGGGCACAGTAGCTCACACCTGTAGTCCTAGCTCCTCGGGAGGCTGAGGGAGGAGAACCACTTAAACCCAAGAGTTTGAGACCACAGAGCACTATGATCGCACCTGAGATTGAGCCACTGCACTCCAGCCTGGGCAACATAGCAAGACCGCATCTTTTTTTTTTTTTTTCTTTTTTTTGAGACGGAGTCTCGCTGTCTCCCAGGCTGGAGTGCAGTCGCACGATCTCCACTCACTGCAAGCTCCATCGCCTCCCGGGTTCACGCCATTCTCCTGCCTCAGCCTCCCGAGAAGCTGGGACTAGAGGCGCCCGCCACTACACCCGGCTAATTTTTTTGTATTTTTAGTAGAGATGGGGTTTCACCGTGTTCGCCAGGATGGTCTTGATCTCCTGACCTCGTGATCCGCCTGCCTCGGCCTCCCAAAGTGCTGGGATTACAGGCGTGAGCCACCGCACCCGACGACTGCATCTCTTTAAAAAAAAAAAAGATTCATGTGTGATTTTGCATGAGGACTTTTTCACTGCTGTACAATGTTCCATTGTGTGATCATCCCACTATTTTTTTTTTTTCTAGAGATGGATGTCTCACTCTATCACCTGGGTCAGAGTGCAGTAATGCAATCTTGGTTCACTGCAGCCTCGACCTCCCAGGCTCAAGCAATCCTCCCATCTCAGACCGTGAGGTACAGATGTGAGCCACCATGCCCAGCTAATTTTTGTATTTTTTGCAGAGACTGCGTTTTACCATGTTGCCCAGGCTGGTCTCGAACTCCTAAACTCGGACAATTTGACTGCCTCAGCCTCCCAAAGTGCTGGGATTACCAGTGTGAGCCACTGTGCCTGGCCCATCCCACTATTTTTGATCCATTCTCTGCATGGGCATTTGGATTCGTTGCTATTGGAACAAGTGAAGGGCTGGGCACAGTGGCTCACGCCTGTAATCCCTGCACTTTGGGAGGCTGAGGAGGGCAGATCGCTTGAGTCCAGGAGTTTGAGACCAGCCTGGGCAATATAGCAAACCCCCGTCTCTACAAAAAATACAAAAATTAGCTGAGCATGGTGGCACATGTCTGCAGTCCCAGCACTTTGGGAGGCCCAGGCAGGAGAATCACTTGAAGCTAGGAGTTTGAAACCAGCCTGGGCAACATGGCAAGACCCCATCTCTATGAAAGGAAGGAAGGAAGGGAAGGGAAACAGGGAAGGAAGGAAATATTTTTAAAGAATTTTTTAAAAAACAGAACAAGTGAACAAGCCACTTTTCTGTGCCTTCGTGTTTTCTTTGTCTTTAAACATTTGCATGGTTGGGTCATGGCCTATGTAAAAGTCAGGTCAGGCTGGGCACGGTAGCTCATGCCTGTAATCCCAGCACTTTGGGAGGCTGAGGGGTAGATCACTTGAGCTCAGGAGTTCGAGACCAGCCTGACCAATATGGCAAAACCTCATCTCTACTAAAGCTAAATGGCTGGGTGTGGTGGTGCATGCCTGTAATCCCAGCTACTGGGGAGGCTGAGGTAGGAGAATTGCTGGAACCAGGGAGGCAGAGGTTGCAGTGAGCTGAGATCGTGCCATTGCACTCCATCCTCATCCTGGGTGACAGAGTGAGACTTCATCTCAAAACAAAACAAAACAGAAGTCAGGTGTATTCTTACATTGCATTATCCCCATGAGTATGTTCTCTGCATATGCCAAAACCTCACTGCCAACCGAATTTTTGGTGGCTGCCTAATATTCTGCCACAGGGAGGGATCATGATTTACTTAGCCAGTGCCCAGTTGCTGGACACAGAGGTTGCCTGGACACCCTGCTGGCAACAACAGGGATGCTATGAACATCATCCCCTGCACACCATGCCCTGACCCTGGGCCTCGGGCCGTCCTGTCCCCTCCCTGCAGGCGAGCCCAAGACCTCGGCGGCCCCACTGAGCATTGCCAATGGCGCGGGCCCTGCCAGCACCTCGGAGGACGCCATCAAGAGCATCCTGGAGCAGGCACGCCGTGAGATGCAGGCGCAGCAACAGGCCTTGCTGGAAATGGAGGCGGGACCCAGGGGCCGCTCGGTGCCCCCCTCGCCTCCGGAGAGGCCGTCGTTGGCCACCGCGAGCCAGAACGGGGCCCCGGCCTTGGTGAAGCAGGAGGAGGGCGGCGGGGGCCCCGTGCAGGCGCCACTCCCGGTCCTGTCCCCCGCCGCCTTCGTGCAGAGCATCATCCGCAAGGTCAAGTCCGAGATTGGCGACGCCGGCTACTTCGACCACCACTGGGCCTCCGACCGCGGCCTGCTCAGCCGCCCCTACGCCTCCGTGTCGCCCTCACTGTCCTCCTCCTCCTCCTCCGGCTATTCTGGCCAGCCCAATGGCCGCGCCTGGCCCCGCGGGGATGAGGCCCCGGTACCCCCCGAGGACGAGGCGGCGGCAGGGGCGGAGGACGAGCCCCCCAGGGCGGGCGAGCTCAAGGCTGAGGGTGCGACAGCCGAGGCGGGCGCGCGGCTGCCCTACTACCCGGCCTACGTGCCGCGCACCCTGAAGCCCACCGTGCCGCCGCTGACTCCCGAGCAGTACGAGCTGTACATGTACCGTGAGGTGGACACGCTGGAGCTCACCCGCCAGGTCAAGGAGAAGCTGGCCAAGAACGGCATCTGCCAGAGGATCTTCGGGGAGAAGGTGAGTGCAGTGCGGGCGCACAGCGTGTGGGCTCTGGGAGATGTCTGAGAAGCAGGATGCCCACCCAAGCAGGCCGACGGGACCCCAGGGCCCCAGGCCCTCCATTCTTGAGTCCTGTCCCTGGGCCCCGCAGGAAGGAGGGTCACCGTTCTGCTCCATGGTTGTTACAACCGGGTAATGCTTCCATCCTGGCTAGTAAACAGTCACTTAACTCCCTTCCTCCAGGCCCCTCCAGATCGCCTGAGGTCCAGCCACTAAAGGGTTATGTGGCAGGATTTGGTGGCTCACCAAGTCGCACTCTGGGAGTCGCACTTTGGGAGATGGAGGTGGGAAGATCTCTTGAGCCCAGAAGTTTGAGACCAGCCTGGCCAATGTGGGGAAACCCCGTCCCTACTAAAAAATGCAAAAATTAAGCCGGGGGCGGTGGTTCACACCTGTAATCCCAGCACTTTGGGAGGCTGAGGTGGGCGGATCATGAGATCAAGAGATCAAGACCATCCTGGCCAACATGGAGAAACCCCATCGCTACTAAAAATACAAACATTAGCTGGGCGTGGTGGCTTGCGCCTGTATAGTCCTGGCTACTTGGAAGGCTGAGGCAGGAGCATCACTTGAATCCAGGAGGCAGGGGTTGCAGCGAGCCAAGATCTCGCTACTGCACTCCAGCCTGGGTGACAGAATGATGCTCCATCTCAAAAAAAAAAAAAAAAAAAAAATGGGGGCATTCGGGACCAGCCTGAGCAATGTAGCAAGACCCCCATCTCTACAAAATAAATTTTTAAAAAAATTAGCTGAGTGTGGTGGTGCACAGCTGTTCAGGAGGCTGAAGTGGGAGAATTGCTTGAACCCAGGTGGTCGAGGCTACAGTGAGCCATGATCATACCAGTGCACTCCAGCCTGGGCAACAGAGCAAGACCTCATCCCCCCCGCAAAAATAAATAAAATTTTAAAAATAAAGGGTTAGGTAAGGCTCACCCCAGCCAGGGGACCTCAGTGCGTCCTGATTGGTTGGTGCCGCTGCAATGCCAGTTTTAAGTGTCACCTCTTAAATAGGGAATAGGCAAAGGGCCAGGCAAGCTCGGAGGAGGGAGAAATGACTTAAGTGGGAGGTCAGGGAAGGCTTCCTGGAGGAGGGGGCACTGAAGGATTTTTACATATAGGGACATCAGGGAGGGTACCGGAGGGGAAGGGCACAGCAGAGGCACATGGCAGGCACCTATGAGGAACAAATGAAGGCTGCCTGGACTCTGACAGAGGGGAAGGGAGGGGAGGCTGGGCGTGGTGGCTCACGCCTATAATCCCAACACTGTGGGAGGTGGAGTTGGGTGGGTCCCTTGAGGTCAGGAGTTCGAAACCAGCCTGGCCAACATGGCAAAACCCCATCTCTACTAAAAATACAAAAATTGGCCAGGCATGCACCAGCCTGGTACAAGTCCCAGCTACTTAGGAGGCTGAGGCAGGAGAATCACTTGAACCTGGGAGGCGAAGTTTGCAGTGAGCTGAGATCTTGCGAGACTCTGTCTCAAAAAAAAAAAAAAAGGTGGGGGAGGGGAGGGAGGGCCAGGTCCATGTCCCAGGGGCCTGCTGACCTACCCCCCTGCCCCACCCCTCGCAGGTGCTGGGCCTGTCACAGGGCAGTGTGAGCGACATGCTGTCCCGGCCGAAGCCATGGAGCAAGCTGACGCAGAAGGGGCGGGAGCCCTTCATCCGCATGCAGCTGTGGCTCTCCGACCAGCTTGGCCAGGCGGTGGGCCAGCAGCCTGGTGCCTCCCAGGGTGAGTGTGGGCAGGAGCATCTCAGGGGGTGCTGGTGAAACCCCGTCTCTACTAAAAATACCATAAATTAGCTGGGGATGGTGGTGTGTGCCTGAAATCCCAGCTGCTTGGGAGACTGAAGCAGGAGAATCTCATGACCCTGGAGGTGGAGGTTGCAATGAGCCGAGATCCTCGCCATTGCACTCCAGCCCAGGCAACAGTGTGAGACTCCGTCTCAAAAAAAAAAAAAAAGAAAAAAGAAACGTATCAGGAGGCAGCCCCCCAGCTGGGGAGGGAGGTGGCACTGGGCAGGGAGGGGGCCAGGAAGAGGCAGGAGTGGTGACTTTGTCTGCTCTGCTCCTTTCCTGTTCTTCTTTTGTTTTTTGAAAGAGTCTTGCTCTGTTGCCCAGGCTGGAGTGCAATGACATGATCTCAGCTCAATACAACCTCTGCCTCCTGGGTTCAAGTGATTCTCCTGCCTCAGCCTCCTGAGTAGCTGGGATTACAGGCATGTGCCACCATGCCCCACTAATTTTGTATTGTTAGTAGAAACGGGGTTTCTCCATGTTGGTCAGGCTGGTCTCGAACTCCTGACCTCACGTGATCCACCTGCCTCAGCCTCCCAAAGTGCTGGGATTACAGGCGTGAGCCACCGCACCTGGCCCTTTCCTATTTCTTTAAAACAAGAAAAGAGATCAGAAGTGACGGGAGTGAAGTGTCAGTATCGATTACAGTGATGGGTGGAAGGGAGGAGAGGACTTATGTATTGTTTTCTGCATATTTCTATATGTTTTTAATAGTTTATAAATACAATGTTTGATTTTAAAACTCCTCTCCATAAGGCTGTAACGAGGATTAAAAGCAGCCATGCTGGCCAGGTGCAGTGCCTCATGCCTGTAATCCCAGCACTTTGGGAGGCTGAGGCAGGCGGATCACAAGGTCAGGAGATTGAGACCATCCTGGCTAACTCGGTGAAACCCCGTCTCTACTAAAAATACAAAAAATAAAAATAAAAAAATTATCCGGGCTTGGTGGTGGGGCCTGTAGTCCCAGCTACTGGGGAAGCTGAGGCAGGAGAATGGTGTGAATCCAGGAGGCGGAGCTTGCAGTGAGCTGAGATCGCACCACCGCACTCCAGCCTGGGCAATAGAGGGAGACTCCATCTCAAAAAAAAAAAGCAGTCATGCTAATAACCAGTGGTCAAAGTGGTTTGTCCTGTAATCTTCATGTCAGTCTCCCGCAAAGGGACTGTTTATCATTCCCATTTCACAGACGAGGAAATCCAGAGGCACGGTGGTGCAGTGACTTGCCCAAGGCCACCATCCAGTGAGTGACAGAGCTAGGATGAGCATCCCGGGCTGTGGGCCATTAGGCTCCCTGCCCCCTAGGGTCCCCAAATGCGCCTACCAAGAGCCTACCTCACAAAAGACTTCCAACCTTTTTTTGTTTTATAATGTTGTTGTGGGGGAGGGGTTGGTCTTTGTTTATAATGTGCTGGCAGGGGAGTCGTTGGTTTTGTTTTATAGTGTTATAGAGGCGTTGGTTTTGTTTTATAGTGTTATAGAGGGGGAGGGGTTGGTTTTGGTTTTACAGTGTTGTGGTGGGGGAGGGGTTGGTTTTTATTTTATAGCGTGGTGGGGGTTTGGTTTTGTTGTATAGTGTTGTGGTGGGAGGGGTTGGTTTTGTTTTATAGTGTGGTAGGAGAGAGGTTGGTTTTTGTTTTATAGTGTTGTAGTGGGGGAGGGGGTTGGTTTTGTTGTATAGTGTTGTGGTGGGGGAGGGGTTTGTTTTGTTTTATAATGTGGTGGGGGAGGGGTTGGTTTTGTTTTATAATGTGGTGCTGGGGGAGGGGTTGGTTTTGTTTTATAATGTGGTGGTGGGGGAGAGGTTGGTTTTGTTTTATAATGTGGTGGTGGGGGAGGGGTTTTGTTTTATAGTGTGGTGGGGAGGGGGTTGGTTTTTGTTTTCTAGTGTTGTGGTGGGGGAGGGGTTTGTTTTGTTTTGTAATGTTGTGGTGGGGGAGGGGTTGGTTTTGTTTTATAATGTGGTGGGGGAGGGGTTGGCTTTGTTTTATAATGTGGTGGTGGGGGAGGGGGTTGGTTTTTTGTTGCATAGTGTTGTGGTGGTGGAGGGGCTGGTTTTATTTTATAATGTTGTGGTGGGGGAGGGGTTGGTTTTTTGTTGTATAGTGTTGTGGTGCGGGAGGGGTTGGTTTTATTTTATAATGTGGTGGGGGAGGGGTTGGTTTTGTTTATAATGTTGTGGTGGGGGAGGGGGTTGGGTTTTTGTTGTATAGTGTTGTGGTGGGGGAGGGGTTGGGTTTTTGTTGTATAGTGTTGTGGTGGGGGAGGGGTTTGTTTTATTTTATAATGTTGTGGTGGGGGAGGGGTTGGTTTTTTGTTGTATAGTGTTTTTTTGTTTTGTTTTGTTTTGTTTTTTTTTTTTTTTTTGAGACGGAGTCTCGCTTTGTCACCCAGGCTGGAGTGCAGTGGCGCAATCTCGGCTCACTGCAAGCTCCGCCTCCCGGGTTCACGCCATTCTCCTGCCTCAGCCTCCCGAGTAGCCGGGACTACAGGCGCCCGCCACTGCGCCCGGCTAATTTTTTTCTATTTTTTAGTAGAGACGGGGTTTCACCATGGTCTCGATCTCCTGACCTTGTGATCCGCCCACCTCGGCCTCCCAAAGTGCTGGGATTACAGGCATGAGCCACCGCGCCCGGCCCTGTTGTATAGTGTTGTGGTGGGGGGTGTTTTTTGTTTTACAGTGTTGTGGTGGGGGAGGGGTTGATTTTTTGTTTTATTGTGTTGTGGTGGGGGAGGGGTTGGTTTTTGGTTTTTTTGAGAAAGACTCTCTCTCTGTCGCCCAAGCTGGAGTGGTGAGCCACTGTGCCTGGTCTGTGGTGTTATGTTTTAACTAACTTTTTTATTGTGGTAAAATTCACATAACAGCTGGGCACCGTGGCCCCAGCACTTTGGGAGGCTGAGGCGGGCAGATCACTTGAGCCCAGGAATTTGAGACCAGCCTGGCCAACATGGAGAAACCCCGTCTCTACTAAAAATACAAAAATTAGCCGGGCGTGGTGGCACGCATCTGTAATCCCAGCTACTCGGGAGGCTAAGGCGAGAGGATCACTTGAACCCAGGAAGTGGAGGTTACAGTGAGCCGGGATGGCACCACTGCACTCCAGCCTGGGTGACAGAGTGAGACTCTGTCTCAAACAAACAAGCAAACAAAAAAATCACTTAACATAAAATGTACCTTTTAAACCATTTTTGAAGTGTACAATTCACAAGGTGTGTGACCATCACCTGTATCTAATTCCAGAATATTCCCACCACCCCAAAAAGGAACCCCATACCCATCCAGCAGTCATTGCCCATCCTCCTTCCCCCCAGCTCCTGGAACTCCGCTTTCTTTCTGTCTGGATTTGCCTCGTCTGAATGTTTCATGTAGATGGAATCCTGTACTACTTGACCTTCTGTAGCTGGCTTCTTTCAGTTAACATGTTTTCAAGCTCATACAAGCTGTAGCATGCAACAGAATTTCCTTCCTTTTTTGTGGCTAAATGATATTCCGTTGTATGGCTAGACCCCATTTTGGCATTTTGAATAATGCTGCTATGAAAATTTGTGTACATACTGTGTATGAACCTCCATTTTCAGTTCTTTGGTCATATATCTAGTACAGTTGGCTAGATCATATGGTAACTCTGTGTTTAACTTACTGAGGAAGTTCAAAGAGTTTCTATTTCTCCAGGTCCTTACCAACATGGGTTATGTCCCATTTGTTGGCACTAGCCATCCTGGTGGGTGTGTAAGTGGTATCTCACTGTAGTTTTTATTTGCATTTCCCCAGTGTCTGATTGTTTTGGTTTTGAATTTTATTGTCATGGAAGGATTTGACTACAGGTAGGATAGAGGTAAACAGAGAAGATGGAGAATGGTGTTCCTTGTGGAAGGAACAGCACAGGCAGCGGCTAGGAGGTGGGACCATGCACAGCCTGGGAAGGGATGTGAGTAGAGGTGGCGGTTGGGGGGTCCCCTGCTCTCCCAGAATAAGAAGCCAAAGCTAGGCGCAGTGCCTCGCACATGTGGTCCCAGGACTTTGGGAGGCTAAGGCAGGCAGATCATTTGAGGTCAGTTCAAGACCAGCCTGACCAACATGGCAAAACCTCTTCTCTACAAAATACAAAATTACAAAAATACAAAAATTAGCCGGGCGTGGTGGCGGGTACCTGTAGACCCAGCTACTCAGGAGGCTGAGGTATGAGGATTGCTTGAGCCTAGGAGGTCAAGGCTGCAGTGAACTGGAGTGAGTGCATTCCAGACTGGACAACAGAGCGAGACCCTGTCTCAAAAGCAATAATAATAATAATCAGGGAATCAGGCCTAGAAGTGGCTACTGTAACTGCTGGCCCTAGGGAGAGGGTGGTGATGGCAGATCCACCCTCACAGCCTCTGCTTGTTCATAACTCACTGGGCCTGGAAGCAAAAGGGTGTATCCATTGCCCACAAAGTCCCACAGAGTCTGGCTGTGGGGCTGGGTGTCAGGACCTGTCCCAGCCCCTCATGTGTACGCCCTGACTGCTGAGGCGGGCAGGGACCAGCGCTGGAGCCCTGACCATACCCGTTACTGAGGTTGAACCAGATGCCATGGGAGGGTTATAAAGCACGCCCTTATCCCCATGCCCACTGCCAGGCGCAGTCCCAGGTGTAATCAGCACTACCCACCGTGGCAGCATCAGTATTCCAAACCCTTCCATCTGAGGCTTCTCAGAATTCTCAAACAGTCAAGGAAGCCCTGTCCTGTCCCCATACACAGTCCCTCTCTTCCCTCTGTCTCTCTTCTGGTCTCTGTCTCTCTCCTCCAATTTATTTATTTATTTATTTATTTATTTATTTATTTATTTATTTATTTATTTTTGAGACAGAGTCTCACTCTATCGCCCAGGCTGGAGTGCAATGGTGTGATCACTGTAACCTCCGGCTCCCGGGTTCAAGCAGTTCTCCTGCCTCAGTCTC